CTGTTTTAGACTTGGTTGGCTTTAATGAAAATTTCTTTTTACTGCACCGCAATGTGTTTTCAGGCTAAGTATTTTCTCATGATCCTTAGCAGTTAGAACAAGAATTCTTGTGGGAATATATGGCCCAAAAGTTGTGTAGTTTTCTATTATGGCAGAAAACATAGTTCGATTTTATGCCAAATGTCTTCCTGGATGCACATTCTGCCGCAGACTGAATGTCATTGTTGATGTTGAACGGGACTTAGTGGCTTCTGCGTCGCTAAGATTTAACTATATAATATTGAAGAAAATTACATATGTCCAAAAAATTCCCAAAAGATTGATGGAAAAGCTTTCTTGATTTTTCATCCAAACAGTGCGAATTGTGCATGTTAGTTATTGGATTTAAAAGTGCACTATTAAAAAAGTGTTGTAGAATGAATACGTGATTAAAAATGGAGAAATCTATGATAAATGTATGATAAATGTATAATTAATGAGCTTAATGATGAAGACAAGATTTATTTATTGACACAAAAATCATTATTAGAGTCTTTAATATACAGTTTAGAGAGATTTTTGAACTTGTATAGTCCGTCTCAATACCATGCTGATACTGGAGAGATGCAAGGCAATTCCATCCTACAGAATAAAGTAAGGTCTGTGGTATAACGATGTAGAGTAGATTAATACTAGTGTGTGAGAAGTTTTCAGCCGTTTATACGTTACGCTAGTCAGAAGAACGCTTTACCGTATGTGACAGACAACACATTGCTTATCGACACTGATGTAACTGTGTCCTGATGCTGGTAGTGAGTTATCACCTACCTTACGCCAGAAAATGAGATTTTTGTATGAACACAGTGACATGTAGAATAATTAGAATAGTTACCCAGAAATTGCTGTTTAGGGCGTAGTATGGTAGGTTAAGATTAAAGTAAGAATATATTACTGCTACATTTATGCAAAAAAGACTGCAAGAAAAAACATTGAAGGAATGGATTTAGTAGACGATTAGATCCAATCTTGCATAGTATTTTTTTATCCGATGGCGCCGATGAAATAAGATACTATGTTTTGCCTTGTTACACCTTGGTAATAACGATCTTTTGTCTATTCCTGTGATCCTTCAAAAGAGAATATGTCACAATTTAGATCATTTCACTCTTGAGCGTGAGAAATATACTTTAGACTACTTGGTTATTATTGATCACATAGTAAAATTGTCTAATTATCAAAAAAATTATTTATTTTTATTGCTGCGTTGTGTATTATAGAAAGACCATTTAAGTGTGTGAAAAGAGAAAGCTAGAAAAAGTTGTTGTTTGAGAAAAATGGTGATTTGTTATCATTAATTAACACAATCACTTGGTTGTGTCATGTTTCAATATTTTTCATTAAAAACCTGTTATAGTGTCATAAACTTGTTTGTGAAAAGTGCCTTATATGTGTATGTTTATATATATAAACAACAAATAAGAGAATTAACAAATAATTCCACTATATGTATATTTAAACCTATTCTGTTAAACTGAATTATACTAATATGTGATTGATTCACATATTATATATATATATATATATATTCATTAGCAACCGTTTGTTTGTTTCACAACAATACCTTGGAACCGACTAGATCTACAGTAACAGGAGATCGTCGGGTAGCGTCTCCGTTTAACAAATTATTAGTGTAGTAAACTGAAAAAGTAAAATCCATAAAATAAGCAATAAATTGAGCTGAAAAATGTTCGATAACCCGAACCATACTATTATTATGATCATACTTGTCCCATTAGTCACGACGCATGCCACAAAAAACACCAATAAAACGTACAGCGACGTAGTTTTTTTGTAATTAAAACGTTTATTTTACTATCATTCTGTTCAATACATTTGAAAATGACGTTCATATGTCAACGTTTTTGCCTAAAGGCGGTTTCTTTTTATCACCTTTAAATTGTAATAAAAATTCGTAATAACGTTGAGGATAAACGTATCATAATTATATCAACAATTCAGAAATTCTTATTAGCTATAATCTCTTATATCCATGACAAAATATGTATGTTATAAATTGTTTTTCGCGTGGACGCAGGTGAAAAAAATGTCTTCAAATTTTTAAACTAATCTGTTGCTATTTCTTCATATACATACAGAACATCATAGTGAGCTTGGTCATAATGTAATTGAGAAACAATTGAAAGACAATTTGACATTTTTCTGTTTTCAACCATTTCAAAGTAGAAATAATGATGAGTCGATAATACACGGCGAAAGGAGATAAAGTTCAACATATCATAGAATATGAAACTAAAAGTTAACAACAATCTCTGAGACTACTAAAGTTTCTGGATTTTTTTCTGCAGTATTTTATTCTTCTTCTAATTAGAACTTTTTTCAATACTATATTATACCATTACTGTACTACACGAATAAATTGTTTGTTTTCTCTTATTTTTTCTAATACATGCATCGTTCCGATCTTCTATCCATATTTTAAATATTTATAGTGACAAATAGTATTACAAGAAGAGCAAAAAGAGAGATATGTATTCTATTTAACAAATAATTTTGTAATCGTACCATTTTATCGATGATAGAAATAGAAGTCAAATTATAATGCTCAAATCACAGAAACAAGACATTTTTTAGAATCTAAAAGTTGAAAGATGAAGTGACTTATATAACTGAAATTTCAACTTCTTAACTCATTTTTTTTGACACGATTTGTAAAATGCATTCGCACTATGTGTCTCAAAAATTATCATAATATCAATTTTTCATGCCTCCTTTGCGCAATTTTTATGCGATTATGAATGTGGTAAAAGTGAACGTAATTTATCTACTTGGGAAAGAAAGTATTCTAGCGCACCAACTGTGAAGTTATATTCTCTCTACAGAGTTGGAGATGTTGACAATTTTCATACTATATACTTGGTATAATTAAAATTTGTTTAAGTGATTGCAGATATTATCTTTGTAACCAATTTCATACTATAACGATGAGTGCTGTGTTTTTTCACTATAAAAACCTATTCTCACTATGAAATTGAAATAACATATCCAATTATGCATATTATATTGATAAACTGCTGCAGAACAAATTGAAGTTAAGTTAATCTTGTTTTCAAGATGTTACGTGAGCGCTTGTATAATTTTCAATGTAAAAAATTAGAATGCGTAGATAATTTGTTAAATATTTTAAACTGATTCCCAAATGATTTCTTGAAAAACATCATTATTATGTTAGATGATCGAAACTAAAATTAAGTGTTAAAAATATTAATATTGACAGAAAAAATCAGACTTTCATATAATAGTTTTCCCATATCCTCATTATTGTACGATAACTCTAATAATCTGAGCAAACAGTATCAAGCTAGATGCACGCTATAGTCTTTACGAACTCTTTGACAAGATATCAGTTCATAGCCAAAGGGCCGTTTGAGCTGAGTGAACACGAAGAGAAGGACAAGATTATATTAACTGATTTGCGCAATAGATATTTTATATTATTGTTGTTGTTCTTTTGAAATTTGACCTTTAATCCATTTAACTTAGCTAAACATATTTTAAAAGTGTGTTCAATGAAGCTGTAAGAAAAAATTATGTTTATCAAAAAAACACATTTGCGCAACTTCAGAGGTTTGAATATTATATGTGAATGTTTTCTTGCCACTTGCTTTTATACACCAATACAAAAAATCTATAATGTGTCAATCTACCGAACAATCTTGCTAGTAGACAAAAACTGCGTTCGATAACTACAATAGAGATAGAATACCACCAGTGTATTCTAGTGGGAACAGTGGCTTCTTCTACTTTTTAGTAAAATCAAAAATGATGTACCTAGTCATCAAAGAGCAATTTACTTCTCTCTGGATCGTTTAAATCGTTTTCGTACCCAGACCTTAGAGCTCTATGCTTTGCTGAAACCGATCAACATTTTGAATCCACTCTTCGAAAAGTGAGATCTTCACAAGAAAAGACTTGTTCATTTACTAAGCTGATGCTGACTGTGAAAGAAGTATAGATGAGGAAGCATGAAGAACACTAAAATGCACAAGAAACATGTTGTTATCTGCATCTACTCCACATGCTGTTTCATGTGAATTTCTATTTTTTATCTTTTAAAAAAATTGATCGTTATACATATTCATTTAAAAAGCACTTCAGGAAAAGAAAGCTAATTTTTTCCTGTGATCTCATTTTTGATCGAAAACATTTGATGATATATATATATATAGGGGACGCGCGCGTTAATTAGTCGCATGTTTCATTCACTATTATGATCATTAATGAAGCATACACACTATCAACAGTGTCAACTTTTTTCTCTTAGTAAAAAAATGTCCTATGCTCTCTACTATAACATTTTACGTTGCACATTCACGGACATAATTCATTAATTAGCGTGGCTTTGTGATGTTCTTTGATCTTTTGCCAATGTTTTGTGTTATTTGGCACTGATTCTTTCTATATGAGCACCATAGTCATTGATACAATTTACAACTCTTTTCTTACGTAAATTTTAAATTGATATATACGAATGCATACGGAAGAACAAGAAGACATTTTATTTAACTTTTATTTTTATTTTCGATCTAACGCGCGCGCTCTTTTTTCTTTTTTTTCGTTTCTTTTTAACAACAGAGACGAAAACACAGACACATGTCTTTTTGTGCAACTGAACTAAACCGTCCGCAAAACATGATTGGTTGTAAAAATATATGTGTGGACGGCGTTTTGTTGATATATATATAAAAAAAAAGCACTTGTGGAAAGAAAAATTTATCTCATAGTCATTTCGAACGAAAACTATATATCAAGACGTAATTACATTCGTCTGTGTTCTATTTCCGAAAACGAGACTTCTCTTCTGTTTTTATTACGTACAGATTATATTACACAATCTCTTTATTGTACTTAATAACATCTTTTCTTTTTTGAAAACTTGAATTTTTTTTTGATTTATTTTTTCTTCGACACATTTGACTATCATCTATCTTGTTTTGAAAATAATGTCAACGATAAGTAGTAATCGTTTTGAAGATTGTATATTTGACATGATACATAACGAAAAAAACATGAACGATGAATGTTTTTGTACACCTCAAGATATTTTCTCTTGTGTATTTGGAGAGACATCAAATAATTTTGAAATAGATGATATTAGTCGTGCAACACATGTAAGTTTTTTTTCATTTTTATTAATGAATACATGAGAAAAACAGAAATATTTAACGACGGATGAAAAATTTCTCAGATAGTTATACACTATACAGTATCTAAAATTTACTAACGATAAAGAAGGATCACTGGTATTTCCAGTGTGAAATTTCACTTCGAACTTCGTTGATTATGATAGCTCTTCTATTTAATACTAATAAAGACACCATAATATAATCTTAGTTACCGTTAACGAAAGATTCAATTAATTGAGAAATAGGGGTTGAATTAATTGCTTGAAGTGGATTTAGTTGATAGAATGTTTTTCATGGAAGTAGAAAGATTTTAAAGAAACATTATTCTTGATGTTGTACCTGAACTACTAAGTTTTCACCAATAAATAATAGACGATATTCTATCTGGGAAGAATCAATTTAAAGAGTATCAGTTAGTCGTTTACTAAGCCGATAATTGAACGTTTATCGAGTTCACTGTAGTGGGTGATATAAGTGATAATTCATTCAATATAAAACACAACTTCCATATCTTGATGATGTGACTTTTTATTCTTTTCAGAATATGAATATCGTTGGCAGTAAAGCTTACTCAAAAGCAGTTGGTGGACCAGTGGTTGATGGTATATTCGATGGGCGTCAAATAATAACATCAACATCAACATTAGATTTAAATAGTAATAACAATAAATCGTCGAGTGCTGCTCGTTATAAAACCGAATTATGTCGATCATTTCAAGAAACAGGGTTGTGTAAATATGATACCAAATGCCAATTTGCTCATGGTCATGATGAAATTCGATCATTACATCGTCATCCAAAATACAAAACAGTGCTATGCCGTACCTATCACTGTTCTGGTTATTGTCCATGGACCACGATGTCATTTTGTTCATAATGAAATGGATTCAGTTATTTTACAAGATTCTGCTTCTACTAAGTCTGCAATGTCATCGAATGATGGTGTAAACTATGGTGTATTTAGTAGTTCAATGTCATCTCATTCAATTTCTCCTCGTTCCATTTCACCATCGAATAGTCCAACAACATCAGCCAGTTCCGAATGTGGTTCAGATGATGATAGCAGTATTACAGGATATCGTCAACATAGTCATCAATTACAACAACCATCGCAATATACAAGAATTCATTCAGACTCATCGTCAATTGATGATTATACATATTATCATGTTTCTTTGAATTAATAACTTAGCCCTGTATATTATGTTATTGGATAAAAAAAAAAGTTACCCATTTTCGCACATACACACATTTATTTTCTTCTACATTATTATTATTATTATTATTATTATTATCATTGTGTTTGATTTTATTTTTCTTCTGAAAAAAAAAGATCAGCGATTACCTGTTTATTAATTTATTTCCTTTTTTTGTTTGGTATTTTGTGTTTTTTTCTCTCTCTCTATGAGACAAGTAGAATTGATCGCATTTTTATGTGCTCTTTCTTTATTTAATTTATAGTTAAGATGGTTCTCCCTATATTTGTGTGATTTTATTTTTTTGTATGTGTGTGTGATCTATATATTTTCGTATACCGCAGATTTTCCCTGCAATGCGAAAATACAAGAAAAAATGAAAATCTCACATTGTTTTCTTTATTTTTTTTACTTGAAATTGTTTGTTTTATTTTTGCTAGTAAATACATGGTTTGAAATTGTCCATGTAAAACGTTCCCTATGCTCTTGAGAAAAAAAAGAAAACACTTATATCTTCTCTTCTTTAAACATGTTGTTATGTATTGTTATCTAGTACACAAATGTATTATTTTTCTATTTATCAACTGTACATTACATTTGATTCTTTCTTCTCTCTCTCCAACGCATCTATTTGGTTTTTGTGTATATGTGTGCGTGTGCGTTGGTACCATGTTCCGTATATTTTTTTTGTTATTTCATTGTTGTTAGTATGACTGATTTGAAACTTATTTAATACATATAGAACTAAAAAGAAAAAAGTTATCCAGATTTTCAAAATGAAATTGGAGAAAAGATAAAGGTTTTCTAAAAGACTTTTATTGGTCTGAGATAATCTTTTTTTCTAATTTTATAATAACTTTTGTATTACAACTAATGATATTGAAATAAAATCAGCATTCTCAATTTACATTTAATTGCTTATGAATACAATCATCTTCCTTTTATTTTTTTTCATATGTGTACACAATCTACAACAATATTATTCTTTTATCTTAAGATTTTTGTCAACGTCTACATGTTTTGTTTTCACATCAGACAGTTCTAATTTGTTTCGATAATTTGATTTAGATGTATGCGCAATCCAATCGTATTATATTATAAAAATAGAAAAGATAGTTGTTTTATTGTTGAGACGCTCTTTGACGCCTTATAGACTATATATAATTGTAAGCCGCTAATCGTAGAAATGCATCATTAGAAAAATATTTTATGATCGATGATACACATCGAATTGGATAACACATGTAGTGTGTGTGTATGTACATCTCACATGGATTAGTTTAATTACGACCTTTTTCTTAAGAATAAAAGAGATATTAGAATTCTACACTATGCAAAACTGCGTTGTGTTTCAACACCTCTTGCCAACAGAAAGTTTGATACTATTATATCATTCTAAGAATTGACTAAAAATAAATATCTAAAACTTATCATGTCAAACATTATATCAATATGAGAACCGTTTTTATTTAGGTCATTAATATCAAAAGTGGACGGAGCCTATGATATTTAAAAAGAAATTTATCAACAAAAATGATTATATTCAGTTCTTTTTTACATAGAGAAAGAAGGGATTGTATCCGTATATCTATCGGATCATTGTTGTTTTATTCTTTCGTTCGTTGTTTATTGTTGCCTGAAGTTAAAATTCTATTGAATGACTGTATACATAACATATGAATATTTCCGCTGTATTAGCGTTATCTGATCTCTAAATATTCGATGTCATACTGTGGATAAAATAGGAAACTATAATTCGTGTCCGTGAATGGAAAGATTGTGTGGTGAGATGTTTCGGTTCAATTCAACCTGTTCATCAATCAATGAAATATATCTAAAATATAATAATTTGTCATTAATCATTATTCTAAACAACTTTTAAGATATTTATTAACACAATTAAATCATCGTTCATTACGATAAAGAAAAAGGCAAATAATCGATATATTATGTGAAACTTCACCGTTTATTCATCGATGAGAAAGACATGATAGACAAGTCAAATAATCAGAGATAATAAGTGTATAATAAATACAAAACTTTAAGAATAGCCGATGACTATAGGATCCAAATTAATTTTAGAAAGAGAACGTTTTCTAGAATATTCGGACAGACACAAAGACAACGGAGCCAGTTAAAAACTGTGGAAATAAATCTTTTTTAGTAAAACTGAAGATAAATTAATTTTTCTTCAAAAAAAAATCATTTTGAATTTTAGTTTAAATTAAATTAATACTGAAGATAAATATCGAAACTTAATTAATTTCTAATACAAAATGTGGCTGAACACAGCATATTACACATTATCGTGTAAATGGAAAATTATCAAAGCCAATTTTAATTATTTGATTTTGAACTAAGATTTAGTAAACAAGTCAATGATCAGTGGTTACAATTTTTATCAAATTTATTATTCACTTCGATGTGTTTCATTTTGATGATAAAAAAATTCTTTTTCAAACATTTAAATTAAGCGGAAATAGATAGATAATGATATTGATACATATCAAGTGTATAAGATACATGATAAAAAGTTGTTGATTAACTTAAATAAAAAGAAAACATGATACAATAAGAGCTGAGTATTAAATTATTTAATCTTTAGAAATATAGTTAGATAGGAGAGTTTAAATACGAACAATTAATGAGTCTCGTATAATATTGTCACAGAAGAAGAAGACATTCACTAACTACTCCTTCAAATATTTGTGTTCACAGACAAACTTCTCTTTCAAGATATAAAAAATATTATAAAATTCCAGTAGAATGAATTTATCTTTAAAAATATGTCAATTTTCTATTTTGTATTTTTTTAATGAATTCAGTTAAACTATTTTCAATACGTGTTTCTTTCGTCGATTATGTATTTAAAATCAGTATCATGCAACAGGAAGAAAAACATCTTTGATCATACGATTTGAATATTTTTCTTTACCTTCTCATAATCTAAATATGAATTAATTTTGAAAAAACAAAAAAAAACAAAAAAATAATGAGATATAATCAAACACTGGAAAAATTCAGTTTTATTCTTAATTAATAACATTAATCTTACAAACGATTATTGTCATGCTATATCAATAGTTTATCATTTTTCTTTTCAAAAGTTTTTCAGTAAGAATGTTTCTTACTTAAATCGTCCACATACTTTTTGAGTGAAAAAAAATTTCGTATAATACGTAACATGACATTTTTCTCATTAATTAACTATTATAATTTTTATTCAAGTGCAATAAAGCAAATCTGAATTTGAAAAGAATACAAGATAGACAAAACGAAAGAAAAAGAATGTGTATTAAATAATTATGTGTTTCTTATTAGTTTTGAATTTGAGAAACAAAAATATAGAAAATATTAGTGAGTGAATATTGTAAGATATATTGTTTAGTTAAATAAAATATATTCTATTTTACACTAAAGATAAAAGTAAAATTGTTACAAGATTTCTGACAGTATCATGAATAAATACGATGTTCAAAATTTTTAAAAATGTTTCATTATTCTTACATAAGAACAAAAAGAAATTCTTAGACTATATAAGATTATTTTAAAAAAAAACATAGAGATGATAAAAAATTAAACGACAAGTTTCTAAAATCAACTACAAGTTCATCGTATAGTGTTAAGTAACTTGTCAGAATAGTTTTATTTGACAGGAATGCATGCATATAAATCCTGTAAACAAACATAAACCAATTTGTGAAGATTATACACTTCAAATTCAATTTTTATAAATGTATCTACTTGACATAAATACATGGGAGTATCTCCTAGCTGGTGGCAGTTCAATTCATTTTTTTAAATCACACGACGTATACCAATCATTCTAATAATTACGTTTTTCACATCTAAAGCGGATTGTATATGCTCTTCAGCATTCTAAATTTGACTTTCAATACACTTAAAAATAAATATTCTTTCGAAGACTCATTGTCAATAGCAGAATGAAAGAATATTTTTAAGGATATAAGTTTTAAGTGTGTCACACTGTATCACAATTTCAAAAAAATAGTTAATTACAAATGCTTTCGAACACAGGAGATAAATGTAATAGAAGGTATGGGAGAATGCTAACGGAGGATGTTGAGAAAATATAAATATTTTCAAAAAAAATTATTCATGAAAGTAAGTAAGACAATTCTGGATAAGTGAAATAAAAATCTTAAAAAAACTAGAGTATATTTTCTCTATAAAATTGACACTAATTCAAACTCGATTTCCTTCCGACAAATATCACACATTTTTGAAGCATTGAAATCAACGTCTATCTCTTTACTCAACTTAAAATAGCCTTAACGTTTAAACACTATTTCTCTTTCCATATATTTTGATTAAATATAATCTGTCAAAGCTTATGAAGTTCAAAGTGTAAGGTGAAAAGAAGAGTATGTTGTAATTGAATGATTGAATTCACATTTATTAAGATTTGTTTAAATGCATTTATTAAACCGCAAACGAACGAAAGATAACACATGCAGTGTTGTTGAAAGAGAGAGACATTGAAAAATGATCATATGAAGTCAATAAAAGAAAAACATGATAGTTCAAAAAGACGCTATCATTTTGTTGAATTGACACAATTAACAACAAAAAAACGGTTTTACGTTATGTAATACTTGATGAATAGTTTCTTTTCTTTCTCAAATGAATATATTCAACTGGTTATGTTGTTAATTTCATTTTCAGTTGTATCATCATCATATACAAAACTTGACTTCAATGTCATACATAAAACTATTCATCTAAGAAAACATAATATTTCAGTCATAAAATCAGATTATTGAAGAGAGATAAAATAATCCGTTATTTAAGAAGATCTGTTTCCAGCATATTCTGATGCATTTACAATTTTCATTTTGATGTAATCTAATTGAGCTCATCAAGGTAATATAATTATACTAATATTTATAAATAACTGTGTATCAAATGAAAATACTCCTGTCTGTTTTCAATTATGAACATTATTCAATCGTTTATTAGCATTCTAA